TAGATACGCTAAATGACGTAACTGTAAATATTTCCTCAAACGTAGATACGCTAAATGACGTAATTTGTAAATATTTCCTCAAACATAGATACGCTAAATGACGTAACTGTAAATATTTCCTCAAACGTAGATACGCTAAATGACGTAACTGTAAATATTTCCTCAAACGTAGGTACGCTAAATGACGTAACTGTAAATATTTCCTCAAACGTAGATACGCTAAATGACGTAACTGTAAATATTTCCATCAAACATAAATACGTTAAATAACGTACTGAAAATATTTCATACGATGCTACTGATAGATATTGATTAAAAATAGCTTACTCGAATTTTTTCGTTTGATTTACATTGTATTCAGCAATTATTTCCTGTAAAAAATATCAGAAATTTGTGAAATAATTCGAATTTGAAATAATTAAAATTAAATTCAAAGCATAAAAGTTGCAATTTTAGAAAATCTAAAACAACTATTATAAAAGAAAAAAAAAAGCAAATTTTTTAATAACATTAATAATTTAAAATCAAAAAAAAAAAAACTTTGTTAATTTAAGCATACTCGAAATTTGTTAACATTAGCCATCACAAAATTTCCAGCAGTTTCCGCATTTCCGATCGAATAATCCCAACCAGCAAATAATTTCCAATTAAATACATACTGCTCTGCTCTACCACCGGCAAGCTTACTTTGTCGCGCATTTGATGCCATCCTGCAAGGTATTCTAGATATTTCCCGAATTTTTTTTTTTTTTTTTTTGCGATATTCAATCGTTAATTCATACTCGGATGTAATTATAACTATGCATGATGTTTATATTAAATTGAAAAAAAAAATCGAACTATTTTTGCCTGATTGTCAACCTATCGAATATTTCTCGTTTTGAATTAATGAAATAAATCTTAAAATTCATTTTAGATATCCCAAAAATCAAATTAAAATTAGAAAAGAAATCAATGATTTAATAAATTTGCATAAAAGTTGCCTTAATTTTCAAAAAAAAAAAACTGAAAATATATCGAATTAACAATAATTATACAATAAAGCTTACTTTTGCAAGATGATAAAAAAGCTATAACCGAGAATGAATAAATTTACAGTAAAATATGCAACGGGTACACTGTATTGAACCGTATCACCGAAATATGTCTCACTGCTATAGTAACCATAAAATAACAATGAATATTCAAAATAACCCTAAAATGAAATTTTATTCAGAAAACAAGAAAACGACAAAATCGGAATAAAATTACAAATAATTAAATTATAAATTCTACTATTACTTAGTAAAAAAAAAAGGAAATTATAATTTTTGCAATATTTTCCTAATTTTTTTTCTAAATTTTCAGTTTTATTTTTCATTGTCTTATTGTTATTTAAATTTAAATTAATAAAATAATATCGATTTCATTGACATCGTTTTTTTTCCTCACTCAAAATATGAAAAATTACGAAATTTTTTTCCGTTCAATTTTTCACATTTTACAATTATTCTAACTTTTGGCATACGATTAGATTAATGAATTTTTTAATTGTAAAAATAATTTCATCTTTAAATTAGCATTTCATTTTATTTCAAGCATCATTTTAATGATGTTAGCTTAACGGTAATATTTATAAAATTCGCATTACTTAAAAAAAGAAATTCAAAATAATTTTTCAATTTCAATTTTTTCAATTACCAACAATCCAGAGACATTAATTACCTAATAATCAAAAACGATTATAAAGTAATTTTTCCATTTCAATCCATTTAATTACTAATAATACAGAAACATTAATTACCTAGCAATCCAAAACGATTAAAAGTAATTTTCAATTTCAATTTTTTCAATTACTAATTACCCGAAAATATTAATTATCTAACAATCCAAAACGAT